AGATTCATAAAAATTACCTTCTTATTTCATTTTTGATACAAAGAAAGTTTAAATTTGTGGGACAGTATAATTAATGCCTAAGGCAATTAATGTTTCATAAAAGCGGACTAGCGTTAAAGTAGACGCGTGTTATTACGAGTGTACGAAGGACATTCAGTTGACATATTTCATGCATAATTAAAATCACATCATGTTTGATCGAACTAAATATCGCTAATTATATAAGTACGGATCAATAATAAGTCTAAGAATAAATCTGTCGATAAACATAATTCAGTCGGCATCCTTAGTCGAGAGTTTCATAACTTAGATTACGGATTTTTAAATTTACATTTCCGTTTTCTAAACAAACAAAAAATTCAAGATCATTAAAAGATAATTAAAAGATAATTAAAAGATCATTTTAAAGAATGATGGTAATTCAAATTGCAGGAACAGTTGACGTAAAAAGTCGTCGAAAAAACGAAAATTCAACCAATTTAACTATTAAAAAAGAATTATGTGAAGAATATATTTGTAAGTTTTGTCTATCTTGTTGTCAGATGCATCCTGTAAGTACGTGACTTCGTATTTTTATCAATTTCGTAGATAATTACACACAAAAATGTGAAGGGTGTACAAAAGTATACGTGGGAAAGGGCAACGGATATATTTATGTGCCTCAGCAGGTGGAAAACGGGATTGCAATACATGATTGGTGATGTTACATCATCGCTGGGATTGTTTCATTCAGAATGAGAGAACGGCACGTACTTAGTGAGCGACACACTTCGCCAATGTACGCATCGATTTCGCGAACCTAGATTTAAATCTGTAAAACATTTTTAAAAAAAACGAGGAAAGTGTAAAACGCGGAAATACAAGAGAACGTAAAAAATATAGCTATATTCGACTAACGCGACCTCGCATAAATAACTCATTCATACTAATCGTTGCATTGTTCGCCGGTGTTTCGCGTAACGCTCGTTGCAACGATTTTAAACCGGCACGATTCAACATTCAACACAAAAGGTACCTCAAACGTCATTGCTTATATAATTGCGCGCCTTCTTTACACGTTTGCGCAATATAAGTACAATATGTGGATCATCGTAAACCGGTTCTTTCTCTCTTTCTCTTCTCGCGGATATTCTTGCGGGATTATTTCAAAGCCTTATAGCTCCTGCACACAAAACGCGGCAACGCTTGCCGCGCGGCGGAAATTGGCGCGAAAGCCAATTAATTTATTGCTTTTCCATAAAAGCAAAAGAATGATTGGCTATTGCGCTAATTTCCGCCGCATGGTAAGCGTTATCGCATCCTGTTTATGGGAGCCATTATAATGAACGAATTTCTTTCTATTTTTTTTCTATGTATAGTTTTAGAAATATTCCGTATTGTTATTCCAATTTAAAATAACAGCATCTTTTTCTAATTTATTTTACATGCAGATCTTAGATTCGTACTTGTTATTTTTTAAATAGAATAATAAGTAGAAAAAAAGCAATCCTCATAATTTCTTCTATAAGCAAGAAAATTATTGGTAAGTTTTTAATTTCTAATTTATTTACGAAATTCTTCATCAACTTCATTAATTAGAATGAAAAAAATTACTTATAGGTAAAAATATATTAATAGAAAAATATTGCATGTAAAAAATACTGTTTATGAAATGAAATAGATTAAAATAAAAAAGTATATATATAAAATTGCCTACGGATTGTTTTGTTTTTGATTAATGACAAATCGTAAGTCCAAAACCGATTTAGGGAAGAGTTGCCGAATGTGTACTGGTCGCCTAAATCGTACCTTATCAATATTTTATATTATTAGTTAATATAGGCAATATTTAGTAACAATAATATAAAATATATGAGAAATGAGTAATATAGACAAAAATATAATAGCCTACATCTTGTTTTATGGATGTTAGTGACGTTTTAAAAAATCAGGTAAATCTGATATTAATTTTTAATCACTTATGTAGCTGATAATAACGCGATCATCCAATTTTATTATAAATTTTTGTATTTTTATAAAAAAAGATTTATTGTAGAGTATTTTACATTCACTGTATATACATATTTGTAACCATTGTAAAGATTAAATCGATATTTTTACAAAATTC